CCCCCCTCTCGCTCTCTCACATGTACCCTCTACGAAAGATGGAGAAACCTGGAGGTAACCCAAGCGGCAGGAATTGTCAACAGCGGTCATTTTTCGCTGGCTGTTGATGGCTCTCTCTTTCGATGGTTGCTTAAATCGAACTGATGGCAAACACCATCACTGGGTTGCCCATTAACGCTTGTTATTAAGTAGCCTAGCAGTTCCCAGAAGAAGTCGAGAGTCTTGCTGGCAAATGGTTGCTGTTGGCAAAGTATTTTCATGCTGGTAGCTTCTAAATACCTTTGTTTTTTCACAGTGATTAAGATAAGTGAGCGGTTTTCATATGTACTATGAAGGTAGCACAATCAATTCGTCATCAATGTACGCTGATACAATTGAATAGCTGCACGGATTCAGCAGTTTTACAGGATATGAGAAAATTTACTTATTTTTTACATATAGGGAGAAAATATACTTACTTTTTACAGTAATTTTGATCGGTTCAATACCGTTGAGTTCGGTCATTCCTTTAATCTCCGAAAAAGTGACATGATCACCGTCCTCAAATCCATGCATTACATTTTCTAACGTTGCAACATCGCCCGTTTCAGCATCAACGTGCTCTATTAGCACCTGAAAAAAAAAACACGAAAAATTTAGGACGTTAAAAACAGCAGTGCCACTACTGGGGAAGATTGATGAAAAATGAAAATTGCCAAACCATTTTGCACTGCTCGCCATTCGGATCGTTGACTTCAAATTTTTTACCAACGTCTATAAAAATAAACCCGAACAATCCGCGTGCATCCGCCAACAACAGACGACGATTGTGCTTGCGAGTCCATTCGCTGACCGTCAGCTCAGTGGATAACGGTGCATCAGTGAGAATAATTAGCTGAAAATTTCACTTATTTACAACTGTTTCGAAGTTTGGCTGTTCGGACCTGCTTTGGATTAGTCGAAAAAAACATGAATATTTTATGGTTATGAAAAAGGTTGTAACAAAAAGAAATAATTATAAGTAAAAATAAAACTGAATTGAAATGACTGAATGTTGCTTGTTACAACTTTTGTCTTAAACAGCCACGTTTGGTAAATG